CCCCAAAACCCCAAAACCCCAAAACCCCGTTTTTCCTAAATCGCCTTATTGGCAGAATAAAATGCAACGATATATAAATTTGAATTGCAAAAATAGTTAATATATCGGGACCGCTTGAATTAAAATGTATAATTACTTAATTTAAAATAGCGCTAAAGTAAGTGACAAATTATAGCTCTAACTTTTCCTTGTTTGTAGTTATTTTACCAATCAAGAAGCAAACTTATACATGAGTGATATGGAAACTGAACAGAATCAAAATTCAACAAACCTTCATGAATCTGGCGGAAAGAGACGCAGACTAAAGCGTTTAGTGAGTGAAGACCAGGAAAATGAGGGTGATATCAATAATAAAAATGAGAGTAGAGATGGAGGCGAGAACACAGCCGCTTATGAAAATGCTGCTAATTCCTATAAGAGACCTTTAAATGTAAGATTTAAACCCCAATAAAATTAAATGAATAGTTCAAGGATAGAACTCTGAACAAACTTAAGAGAAAGGATTTGGATGAGTTTATAGGAGATGCCAAAGATGAGACTGAGGAGTATGTTGCTGATGGAGTCAGTGAAGAGGATGAGTATGTCGAGGAGGAGTTTAACTCTGAAGATGATAAAAAGAAGAAAAAGAGAAAGCCAACAACTGGTAGAGCAGGCAAAAAATCATAAAAGCCGGGAAAATGGATTGATGCACTTGACGATAAAGGAAACGATCCTGATCAACCTAAGCCTGAGAAAAAGAAGAGAGTGATCAAACCGAAAGTTGTACAAGATCCAAATCTCATCAAAACTCAAAATAAACTTATCGGCTCTATTTAAAATACTGACTTATACGATTCAGATGATGATATACTTCAATAAAATAGAACTGGGCTCTACCTAAATGGAAATAATGATAATACTGAATTCCAAAATATGGACCTTGACTTTGGAGACTCGATGCAAAAGAAAGACAAGAAGGATATGAGTCAGCTATTTAACAGCATGAAAATCAAAAAAATGTAAAGAGAAGATCCAGCTTCTATTGCTGCTGACATTGGAATAATCAAATGTCTCAGTTCAAAGATCTCTGTAAATGAACTTGCAGCTAAGGGTATCAAGATCTCTCTCAGAGATTAGCTCTTGAAAAAAGCTGCTGAAAAGTCAAGAGAACCTCTGATCACTACAACTGTCAGCAATAATTTGAATAATGACAGCAAAAATGATAATCCAAGCATTGACGGTGAGCTTAATAATCAAAGTTTGCCAGAACCTTAAATAAATCCAATTGAAACAATGTTTATTGACCAGCCGTCAATCTTTAAGTAATAAACATTGAATTTCAATAAAGAGCCATTAAGAAAGTAAAACTCAACAGTTTCATTACACAGCTGCAGCAACTATTAACAATCTGAAAATAAATTCAACCAAGAAGATGATGATGGAGGGCTAGTCTTCGTAGATCCAGTGGAAGAAGAAAAAGCCAGGAAAGAAAGGGAAAAGCTTCTCAAGAAAAAGGAGGCTCCAGTCCTCAAGATTGCGGGAAAATTCACCATTCAGGGTGGTCTTCATCCTCAAAATTAATCAGGGGGAAATCAATCTGTCAATAGTAGAGCAATGTTCTTGCAAGGATTAAAGAATTAAACAATGCAAAAAAAATCAAATTAACTTACCTTTGAAGATATAAAATAGACTTTTGTATCAACTGAGTTAACAGAGAATAAAAACGAAGAGAAAAAAGCTAAACTTGATTTTCTGAAGTAAAAATCTTTATAATCATAAGGATAAAATAAACAAGCAAGTGATATTACAAGTGAAAAGGAAGCTAACAATTAAAATGATGAATAATTCAATCAAGATATCGATGGAAGCGGTGATGAGTACGAACAAGACTTGGAAGAAATGAGTGAGGCAGACCTGGAAGCTTGGGATGATGAGGAAAATGTCAGAATTGTTAGAAAAAAGCTGAAGAGAGTAGATGATGAATCTATGGGAGAAGAAGATGAAGATTTATATTAGGATAAGACTGATGAAATAGCCGCTCAAGAAGAGAAATAAGATGAAGTTAACGAATTGGAGAAATAAAGCAACTAAGCTGAGGGCGAGAAATTGAACTAAAAAATTGGATCATAAAAAACAAATTCAGTTAGATCAAGAAAAGCATCTGAGCTGTCCTTACCATCAATGATGTCTGAAAAAGAGAAAAAATTGCAAAGACAAAAGCTAATTGAAGCTGAAAGAAAGAAACGCTAATTGCGTAGATTCCTTGAAGAAGAGGCTGAGCTTGGTTCAGACGATGAGGAGAAGGATGATATTAGAAAGGCCATTAACAGGAACGACGACGAAGAGCATGACAGTGATCTAGACGATGATCTTGATGGGTTTGTTGTCAAAGGAGATGAATAGGAAATCGATGATCCAGATGGTAATGTTTATCAGAGACATATGGAACTAATGGAGTAGCAGGACAAAGAAGCCTATCAAAGAACTATTCAAGCAGTGCTCTTTGGATAGAATAAGAAAAGAAGGAGAGATGAAGTTGAGGGAGGCATGGAGTCTGATGAAGGTGCTTCTCGTAAAATGAGAAGAATAGAGGATAGAATGAATGAGTTAAACTAGTATAATGACGATATGGTCTTGGACTTGGAGGGATTCAGACAGAGGAGGATGCAGGAATAAATGATGCAATAAATGAAAGAAGAGGAAGAACTTAGTGAGGAAGAGATTCAGAAACAGGCTGAGAATAATGAGTACTACTAGATCAAGAAAACCCTCAAAGAAAAGGGTAAAGATCTAGAGAGATTCAACACTCTCAGGGGTAAGCAGGATAGAGAAGATGACAGGCTGGAAGAGTACATCGAAGACTTGAATCAGGAAAATAAATAAAAGAAGACCACAGCTAATGAAAAGGATAGTAAAAAGATAATAAAAGGTCCATCCTACCTAGTCAAGTCTACAATGATTGATAAGAAGAATGTGATAATTGATAACTTTGGCAATAAAAATATGGATAAATTCTAGTCAAAGAATATAGAGACAGATTCTCACATCACAAGTGCAAGTAGCAACGGCAAGTCTAGCAAGAATCACAATCCTAACCCCCAGAAGACTCGAGGTAGCTATATTCCAAACACCTCAAGCATGATGAATTTCATGAAGGTGAATGGAGCTGCCTCCTCTATGATTCCCAAGAAAACTGATAAAGCCTACATGTTTACAAAGGCTTCAAATCCCGTAATGCAAAATAGCGAAGAAAAGAACGCTAAAAGTCCTGGATTTCTCAAGAAAAAAGCCAAGATTGGTGTCTGATCAGACAGTGTAGAGCAAATAACCTACAGTCTGTAGCTAGAGTGATAGAATTACAATAAATAATAATCAAAAATATTTGGTCTTTAAAATATTAGCTGTTTAGAATTAGATAAACTTTAGAATTCCTAATCTTTTTCAACTTAAATTTCAATACTAAATTTATAATAGAGGGGTTTTGGGGTTTTGGGGTTTTGGGG